CTCAGCTTCACAGTTACAAAAACAGGAGTAAAACTACCTCTGTAGCATAGGAAAATTCACAAGCCAAAACAAAAGATAACCTACCACATTTCCTTTCCTTACTCGCAGTTTCTGTGGTTTTAGGTGGCTTATTCCAGGTATATTTTTCAGGAGATATTGTACCAGCTTGGTTTCTCCCTCCGTCCGGAGAGGGAACAACCCACAGAACAATGAACAAATCCTTCCCCCCGCCCCAAGTTTCAAAGTATCTTCTTTTCTCACTGGTCCTTCTGGTCAGATGCCAACTAGGTTATTTGAACTGCTTAACCCTTCACAGGTAAGGCAATCCAGTACAGCTGCCAAGCATACATAAAGGTTGCTATCCTTCCCCCTATATTCATGACAGTTTGCAACCCTAGGTGCTGCACCCCTAGTGCCCCTATTTCCAGCACTTATAACTTTTTTTTAAAAGCTCTGTAACTGACTGAAAATAGTTCTGAGACCCAGCTTCCTGAGCAGTGTCTGAAACCCAAACGTTGGAGCACTAGGACATTGAAAGTGAAATGAATTAAAAGTTGTAAAACTGATTTTTTTTTCATTGTCCACACTTAGATAAATAGAGAAAGTAAAGCACAGACAGGCTGCAAGAGCCGTGCTGCAGAACAGAAAACCTGGAATTGTTCCCCGCGGTGAAGAAACAATCTTAAGCTGCCACCACCACAAATATTGTTTAAATTACACTGAAACTTTGCAATTTTTTCCAACTCTCTAATTTTGCAGTGAATGGCAGCACCCCATTGTGGCCATTTATTCTACCATTTAGTCCCACTTGTCTGTGAGAGTCTTTCCTTTGGCAACAACGGGCTTTGGGTCAGGTCCATCGGCTGTGACACAGAAACACCGATTCCTCTGTCAGTGTCTGGATTTTACCAAATCTCCTCAGAGTGGGGCTGCACTTTTCCAGGACCTTTTTCCCAGATACCTTTTGAGGAGCTGCTGCTCCTCAACTGCTACCCTCGAGGGCCATTTTCATAGATTCATAGATTCTAGGACTGGAAGGGACCTCAAGAGGTCATCGAGTCCAGTCCCCTGCCCTCATGGCAGGATCAAATACTGTCTAGCCATCCCTGATAGACATTTATCTAACCTACTCTTAAATATCTCCAGAGATGGAGATTCCACAACCTCCCTAGGCAATTTACTCCAGTATTTAACCACTCTGACAGTTAGGAACTTTTTCCTAATGTCCAACCTAGACCTCCCTTGCTGCAGTTTAAACCCATTGCTTCTTGTTCTATCCTTAGAGGCTAAGGTGAACAAGTTTTCTCCCTCCTCCTTATGACACCCTTTTAGATACCTGAAAACTGCTATCATGTCTCCTCTCAGTCTTCTCTTTTCCAAACTAAACAAACCCAATTCTTTCAGCCTTCCTTCATAGGTCACGTTCTCAAGACCTTTAATCATTCTTGTTCCTCTTCTCTGGACCCTCTCCAATTTCTCCACATCTTTCTTGAAATGCGGTGCCCAGAACTGGACACAATACTCCAGTTGAGGCCTAACCAGCGCAAAGTAGAGCGGAAGAATGACTTCTCGGGTCTTGCTCACAACACACCTGTTAATACATCCCAGAATCATGTTTGCTTTTCTTGCAACAGCGTCACACTGTTGACTCATATTTAGCTTGTGGTCCACTATAACCCCTAGATCCCTTTCTGCTGTACTCCTTCCTAGACAGTCTCTTCTCATTCTGTATGTGTGAAACTGACTGTTCCTTCCTAAGAGAAGCACTTTGCATTTGTCTTTGTTAAACTTCATCCTGTTTAACTCAGACTATTTCTCCAATTTGTCCAGATCATTTTGAATTATGACCCTGTCCTCCAAAGCAGTTGCAATCCCTCCCAGTTTGGTATCATCTGCAAACTTAATAAACGTACTTTCTATACCAATATCTAAGTCATTAATGAAGATATTGAACAGAGACAGTCCCAAAACAGACCCTTGTGGAACCCCACTTGTTATGCCTTTCCAGCAGGATTGGGAACCATGAATAACAACTCTCTGAGTACGGTTATCCAGCCAGTTATGCACCCACCTTATAGTAGCCCCATCTAAATTGTATTTGCCTAGTTTATCGATAAGAATATCATGCAAGAACGTATCAAATGCCTTACTAAAGTCTAGGTATACCACATCCACAGTTTCTCCCTTATCCACAAAACTCGTTATCCTATCAAAAAGAACAGGAGTACTTGTAGCACCTTAGAGACTAACAAATTTATTAGAGCATAAGCTTTCGTGGACGACAGCCCACTTCTTGTTAGTCTCTAAGGTGCCACAAGTACTCGTGTTCTTTTTGCGGTATACAGACTAACACGGCTGCTACTCTGTATTCTATCAAAGAAAGCTATCAGATTGGTTTGATATGATTTGTTCTTTACAAATCCATGCTGGTTGTT